CCCGTAAATCTGTGTGCAAGAACCAGTTTTGTGTGGCATGTGAGGGGTGTTAGCATGGGGCTATTCTTCATCTGGTTCCTGAGAACTCACCAGTGTGGTACATAAGACTTGCCTTTAGAGTGACCTTCCCATTCCAGCATGATCCAGCTCACAGACTATGCACTGGCTACGTCAGGACAACTGCAAATTAGCTTCTGCTACTGCTTCCTCATTGATTTCAGCAGCACAAGTCAACAGAGACTAACAATGTTATCAACTGCAGTTGCAGTGGCAGGAAGAGAAAATACAGTCCAGTTTAGCAATGGTATTAAGGAGAGTAACTGTTACTGATAGTAGAGGACACGGAGACCTTGGGAAAATTTCAGTAATTCAAAGGAATTTTCAGATCTACATTTTTTTGGTGATTCATTTCAGCCAACCAGTTTCATACATTAATCTACAAGCCTTTATTTGTGTTCCACAGAGTTGTGTTGATTTGCCTTGTGTTTTCATTGATATTTAAATGCCCAGGGAACTGTTTCTGAAGCTGAGCTTATTTGTGTTTAGTATTGATATAATGCCATTCCAGTAAGTATTAATTGCACAGTAGAGATGAGTTATAACAGCAGGCCTTTGCAATAAAAAGCTTAAAAATAACAAGCAAGTTCCACTTTACTGCATAGACTTACAGGGGCAGATTTGGGCGTAGATTAGACAAAACATAGCTCAGAACAAGTAAATGTACAGGGAGGACAGAAACAGTCCCCAGTCACCTCTCAAATTCATATCTGTTTAGTAGGACACTTCCTGCTCTAGGTTAGTACACAACATAACATGATGCTTGGTCTTTACCTGTAATTTATTTCTAGTGGATGATGGGAAAAGTGAGAGTAGCAGACGTTATGCAACCTGACAACACAAATAAACCCCTGAGAAAACCAAAGCTGGAAAACAAACAGCCCATGTACAGCATAAATACAAATACTTTAGAAAAATGAAGGGCTTTTAAGGACAAGGTTTTAATAACCTGAACTCAGACGTAATTTTATTTATTATGGGTTAGAGATTTTTGCAGAAAGTCTCTGGCATAGTCCATTAATGGCTTTGGAGGAAGCAGACTGGTACTAGAGACATCCTAAAGCCAGAAGCTCGGGTGATTTATAATTTCATGGCCACAATCTAAATCAGGTTCCATGAATATAAATAACTGGGGGGGGGGGGG